TTTCCTTGCGTCTTATGGGTTTCCTTGCCCGTTGACTCGCATGCATGTCAGACTCTTTAGTCCGTGTTTCAACATGGGTCAGATGGGGAGCCCGCAGGCCGATGCCTGGAGCACGCTAGTGCTGGGGCACACCGAGATGGTGCATGCTGCATTCCATGATCGTGGTGATGATGTCTCCATGGGCACATCGAAAGCCCAAGCTTGGGCTACCGCTACGACCCGCGTCGATCCATACCTCGAGCCAATTGGCGGACCGACTTTCGTCGTTCCACATCCGACCGGGGTGCATCGCTGGCCCCCACCCACTTCCCTCCCGATAATTTCAAGCACTCTTTGACTCTTTTTTCAAAGTCTTTTTCATCTTTCCCTTGCGGTACTTGTTCGCTATCGGTCTCTCGCCCGTATTCAGCTTTGGATGAAATTTACCGCTCGATTGGGGCTACATTCCTAAACAACCTGACTTACGGACAGCGCCTCATGGTGCTACAGGGTCCGGGCACAACGGGGCTCTCACCCTCTCTGGTGCCCCTTTCTAGGGGACTTGGGCCCGATCCATCGTTGAAGACGGTTCTCCAGACTACAATTCAGATGCCAAAGTTACTCGATTCTCAAGCTGGGCTCTTCCCTGTTCGCTCATCGTTACTAGGGGAATCCTGGTAAGTTTCTTTTCCTTCGCTTATTGATATGCTTAAACTCAACGGGTGATCCCGCCTGACCTGGGGTCATGACGCAAGCATCGATTGAGTGATGCGGGGGGTCCGACGGGGTCCGGCTGGACAACGAGCACGCGTCACCAGGGACGAGGCATGTCGGGAGCTCTACCACTGACGGTCACGACGCTATCATTGCCGGGGACTCACTTTTGGGCCAACCGTGACCCACGGGATCGTAAGAGGCCATCTTTCACCCATCCCCTTCCCTCGAAGCCCGACGAGCGGGGGGTCAAAGGGGGGTGACGGTGCATGACACCTAGGCAGACGTGCCCTCGACCTAATGGCTTGGGGTGCAACTTGCATTAAAAGACTCGATGGTTCACGGGATTCAGCATTTCACACCAAGTATCGCATTTCGCTACGTTTTTCATCGATGCGAGAGCTGAGATATCCATTGCTGAGAGTCATTTCATTTTTTTATGACACAAGGAGTCGCGGCGCCATCCGCGCATGCACTGTGAACCGGATGGCAACGACACGCGTATTTTTTTTTGTTTTGGTTTCTTGGCACGATTCACGTCGGGGGTTCGTTGCTTGGCAGCGGGCGAGATGACGCTGATCGTTTCATCGACCCTGTAGGGGGGACAGAGTGATCATCATGCCCGCTCGGGGCTGGAGGGGGCTCATGGATCTGGGGCACCCTCGCCCCCTCGATGTTTCATTAACACGTTCTCGGGTCATCCGTCAAGCAGGGTTTCGACAATGATCCTTCCGCAGGTTCACCTACGGAAACCTTGTTACGACTTCTCTTTCCTCTAAATGATAAGGTTCAATGGACTTCTCGCAACGTCGTGGGTGACGGACTGTCCATGTCGTCACGATCTGAACACTTCACTAGACCATTCAATCGGTAGGAGAGATGGGCAATGTGTACAAAGGGCAGGGACGTAGTCAACGTGAGTTGATGACTCATGCTTACTAGGAATTCCTCGTTGAAGACCAACAATTGCAATGATCTATCCCTATCATGATGAAATTTCAAAGATTACCCGGGCCTGTCGGCCAAGGCTATAGACTCATTGAATACATCAGTGTAGCACGCGTATGGCCCAAAACATCTAAGGGCATCACAGACCTGCTATTACCTCAAACTTCCTTGGCCTAAGCGGCCATAGTCCCTCTAAGAAGCTAGCCACGAAGGATCACCTCCACGTAGCTAGTTAGCAGGCTGAGGACTCATTCGTTAACGGAATTAACCAGACAAATTGCTCCACCAACTAAGAACGGACATGCACCACCACCCATAGAATCAAGAAAGAGTTCTCAGTCTATCAATCCTTACTATGTCTGGACCTGGTAAGTTTCCCCGTGTTGAGTCAAATTAAGTCGCAAGCTCCACTCCTGGTGGTGCCCTTCCGTCAATTCCTTTAAGTTTTCTCCTTGCGACCATACTCCCCCCGGAACCCAAAGACTTTGATTTCTCATAAGGTGTCGACGGAGTCCTAAAACTAACATCCACCGATCCCTAGTCAGCATCATTTATGGTTGAGACTAGGACAGTATCTGATCGTCTTCGAGCCCCTAACTTTTGTTCTTGATTAATGAAAACATCCTTGGCAACTGCTTTCGCAATTGTTCATCTTTCATAAATCTAACAATTTCACCTCTGACTATGAAATACGAATGCCCCCGACTGTCCCTGTTAATAATTACTCCGATCCCAAAGGCCAGCACAATAGGACTAAAATCCTATGATGTTATCCCATGCTAATGTATACAAGCATAGGCCTGCTTTGAGCACTCTAATTTCTTCAAAGTAACAGCACCGGAGGAACGACTTGGGCAATTAAGTCAAAGAGCGCATCCTGGCAGTAGGGACTAGTAGATCGGTGCTCACCGTGAGGCGGATCGGACGATCCAACCCTAGTTCCAAGTACAAGCTTTTTAACTGCAACAACTTAAATATACGCTATTGGAGCTAGAATTACCGCGACTGCTGGCACCAGACTTGCCCTCTAATGGATCCTTGTTAAGGGATTTAGATTGAACTTATTCCAATTACCAGACTTAGAGAGCTCAATATTGTTATCTATTGTCACTACGTCCCCGTGTCAGGATTGGGTAATTTGCACGCCTGCTACCTTCCTTGGATGTGGTAGCCGTTTCTCAGGCTCCCTCTCGGAATCGAACCCTAATTCTCCATCACCCGTCACCACCATAGTAGGCTACTATTCTACCATCGAAAGTTGATAGGGTAGAAATTTGAATGTTGCGTCGCGGGCACAAAGGCCGTGTGATCCGTCGAGTTATCATGAATCATCAGAGCAACGGGCATAGCCCGCGTCGACCTTTTATCTAATAAATGCATCCCTTCCAGAAGTCAGGGTTTGTTGCACGTATTAACTCTAGAATTACTATGGTTATTCGAGTAGTAGATACCATCAAACAAACTATAACTGATTTAATGAGCCATTCACAATTTCACAGTCTAAATTAGTTCATACTTACACATGCATGGCTTAATCTTTGAGACAAGCATATGACTACTGGCAAGATCAACCAGGAAGCATTCCTTCAGGACGTTGGCACCGCATAGGCCTCAACACACCGACCGTGAAGAGAGCCCGACGTAGAGCGCAAGCGTCGTGCGTGTCGAGCATGTGAAACGCATAGCATCGAATGAACGGGGGCCAATAGCCCGCACCCGCTAAACGTTCTGCATCTGAGAGCACGATCGAACGCCGGTGCACCAATGCGGCCACGGATGATTGGGTGGCACGCTTGGGACACCGGCCATGATTGACATCTGACTCGTGGCCCCTCGAGACACGAGACGAATGGTGAGACATTCGGTTTCCATCGATTCAGGTATGCAACACAGGATCCCGATCGCGCCCCCTAGGTACGATGACCGCATGGGGGGAGATTAAAGAGGATGACAGGTCGATAGTTTGATGCATCGAGCATGGAGCTTGCAAACATACACAACCATAGCACCACTCATATGCCCATTGCGTACAAGTGGTAGCATCCACGCATATCGGTCCACAACCCACCCGATCGATTACTCGATGAGCGAACGGAGCAAACGAGGTGTGAGGCCAAGCCACAACCGCTTGGCATGAAAAAAACACGAGCAAGAGCCACGAGACTGCCCTTGATATCCGATAGGTAACAACAAAGTGACACCACCAATGCTTGGCCCGACCAGGACCGCACGCGCTAGCTTCGCTGACACCACCCTAGGGGGACTTTACCTGATTCAAGGACTTGTTCCTGGGGTCTCGGGCAGCGTCGACTATGAGCACGGCCTTGTTAAGGCCTAGGCATTTTCATGGCCGACGAGAAGGGAGTACAAAATCGTCAAATACCGAGAGACCTGGCCGAGCCAAGGTCGCAACCGCGGCTTCTGCTCGTACCACCCCAGAGAGTCGTTACCCGATTCAGGGACTTCGTCTGGGGTCTAGGGCAGCATCCGCTGTGTGCACAGGCTCGAGCTCAGCTCCCCTTTTTCGTATGCACGCCAATCGGTCGAGGCCATGAGTGCCTACCAGTCATCGAAGCAACCAGTCACCGAAAAAAATAGTCGAAAGGCATGCACGCCCTGTATTTCGCTTGAGGGACATTGCCTTGGGTGTACGTAATAGGAGGCCCATCACGCACACCTACTCCCCCCATGGGGGGAGAGGGGGTGCCGGACCATCAACCCCTAAAGAGCATTATAGATTTTACAGATATGCTACCAGTAGATGTTAAAATGTCTGAAACGGGGGTAAGTAGGTGCCAATGGTGATTGGGGCATGTGTTCGTATCAAGGGCCAGCGCGTGTCGATGGTGGTTAGGGCATGTGCCCGTACCAAAGGCCACTGCATGCCGATAGTGGTCGATGCAACTGCCCGCACCAAGGCCAGCATGTGCCAATAGTGGTCGAGGTAATCATCGACACCAGATCGAGGCATGTGTTCACACCAAGGCCTGGCGTGTGCCGATGGTGTTCGACGCAGAGGCCATCTTCTACCGATGGTGGTCGAGGCAAGAGCCCGTACCAAGGGTCAGCTTTGCCGATGATGCTCGAAGTAACTGCCTGTACCAAGGCCTTGTGTGTGCCGATGGTGTTCAAGGAAACCACTCATACCAGGGCCCAGCATGTACCGATGGTGATTAAGGTAACCGCCCGCAACAGGGCCCAGTGTGTGCCGATGGTGTTCGTGGCAAATGTCAGCATCCGGGCCCAGCATGTGCCAATGGTGCTCGAGGCAACCACCCGCACCAGCACCCAGCGTGTGCCGATGGTGGCTGAGGCAAGAGCCCGCACCAAGGGTCAGCTTGTACCGATAGTGTTCGAGGCAACCGCCCGCACCAGGGCCCAACGTGTGCCGATGGTGATCGACCAACATGTGTTGATGGTGATCGAGGCAATCGCTCGCACCAGGGCCTAGCGTGTGCCGATGGTGTTCGATGTAACCGCCCACACCAAGGACCATCTTCTATCGATGGTGGTCGAGGTAACCGCCCGCACGAGGGCCCAGCGTGTGTCGATGGTGATTGAGGTAACCGCCAGCACCAGGGCCCAGCGTGTGCTGATGGTGTTCGAGGTAACCGCCCGTACCAAGGGCCATCTTCTGTTGATGGTGCTCAAGGCAACTGCCTGCACTAGGGCCCAGCGTATGCTGATGGTGTTCGACGTAACCGCTCGCACCAAGGGCCATCTCGGCCCCAACAGATGGTTTGGTGCTCGCACGCTCGATTCAAGAGCAGACCGGGGTGAGCGAAGTTCATTCCCAGTCGGGAGCAAGGGACGGGGGGCCCCAGGTCACGCCCAACCCCGGAGGTGGGTGACGTGAAAAGAAGGAGGGTCGGTGGGGAGAGGGATGAATCGAAGCGACAAAGGGCTGAATCTTAGTGGATCGTGGCAGCAAGGTCACTCTGCCACTTACAATACCCCATCATATATTAAAGTCATCTGTAAAGGATTCTACCCTTCGTTCGGTGGGAATTGAGCTCCAAGGAAGCCCGCGCGACTCATCCGCCGTGGGGGCTACACCTACGACACATGCCCTTGGGGGCCATGGGCCCTTACTGCCAATCGGTAATCAGGCAGTGGGTGCACGCGTCGTTTGTAGCCTGGATTCTGACTTAGAGGCGTTCAGCCATAATTCAGCGCATGGTAGCTTCGCACCACTGGCTTTTCAACCAAGCACGATGACCAATTGTGCGAATCAACGGTTCCTCTCGTACTAGATTGAATTACTATCATGACGCCACCATCAGTTGGGTAAAACTAACCTGTCTTATGATGATCTAAACCCAGCTCACGTTCCCTATTGGTGGGTGAACAATCCAACACTTGGTGAATTCTACTTCATAATGATAGGAAGAGTCGACATTGAAGGATCAAAAAGCAACGTTGCTATGAACGCTTGGCTGCCACAAGCCAGTTATCACTGTGGTAACTTTTTTGACACCTTTAGCTTCAAATCTTGAAGGTCTAAAAGATCGATAAGCCATGCTTTCACGGTTCGTATTCATACTGAAAATCAGAATCAAACGAGCTTTTACCTTTTCGTTCCACACGAGATTTCTGTTCTCGTTGAGCTCATCTTAGGACACCTGCGTTATCTTTTAACAGATGTGCCACCCCAGCTAAACTCCCCACCTGACAATGTCTTCCACTCGGATCGACTAGCCGAGGCTGGCCTTAGGTCTAAAAGAAGGGGTCATGCCCCACCTTCAATTCACGGAATAAGTAAAATAACATTAAAAGTAGTGGTATTTCAATTTTGCCCAAGGGCTCCCGCTTATCCTACACCTCTCAAGTCATTTCACAAAGTCAGACTAGAGTCAAGCTCAATAGGGTCTTCTTTCCCTGCTGATTTCACCAAGCCCGTTCCCTTGACTGTGGTTTCACTGGATAGTAGATAGGGATAATGGGAATCTCGTTAATCCATTCATGCGTGTCACTAATTAGATGACGAGGCATTTGGCTAACTTAAGAGAGTCATAGTTACTCCCGCTGTTTACCCACGCTTGGTTGAATTTCTTCACTTTGACATTCAGAGCACTGGGCGAAAATCACATTACGTGAGCATCTGCAGGGACCATCGCAATGCTTTATTTTAATTAAACAGTCAGATTCCCCTTGTCCGTAGCAGTTTTGAGTTGACTGTTCAACGTCTGGGGAAGGCCCCCGAGGGAGCCGTTCAAAGTCCGTCCCTCGGCCGGCTTGCGATGACCCACTCTCATCGTAGGAGCAGTGCACTGGTAGCCGACGAGTTCGCGACTGGGACCCCTGTGCCCAGCCCTCAAAGCCAATCCTTTTCCTGAGGTTATGGATCCATTTTACCGACTTCCCCTACTGGTGGTGATCGAGGCAAGAACCCGTACCGAGGGTCAGCTCGTGCCAATGTTGCTCGAGGTAACCACCCACACCAAGGGCCATCTTCTACCGATGATGGTCGAGGGAACTCCCGCACCAAGGTCCAGCACGTACCGATGGTGTTCAAGGTAATCGCCCTCACCAGGGCCCAGCATGTGCCGATGGTGATCGAGGCAACTGCCCGCACTGAGGACCCTGTATGTGCCGATGGTGTTCGATGCAACCGCCCGCACCAAGGGCCATCTTCTATCAGTGGTGGTCGAGGTAAGAACCCGCACCGAGGGTCGACTTGTGCCGATGGTGCTCAAGGCAACCGCTCGCACTAGGGCCCAGCTTGTGCTGATGGTTTTCAAGGTAAGTGCCCGTACCAAAGGGCAGCTTGTACCGATGATGGTCGATGTATCTGCCATCACCATGCGCCATCATGTACCGTTGATGGTCGAGGCCTTGGTCAAAGTTTGATTTTGAGCC